TTTTATCTGAACTTTGTTAATGGATCAACCTACAGTATACTCACTGTATTAATCAATCAAAAATCAAGGTATGTTTTTCCATTGTGTTTTGGTGCATTTTCCATAGGTGACAGGAGCCAAATAATTCGAGAGGCTTGCTGCCGTCGCCAAGCTTGTCCTGGTGTTGCCCCATGCAAACGCAGATGCTGAGAGGGTGTTTTCAGTTGTGGGACTGAACAAAACCAAGAGAAGAAACAGCCTAGCATTGGATGGCACCTTGTCCTCAATAATGACCATAAAGATGGCCAATCTGGAGCCCTGCTTCAAATGGGAGCCCCCCTCCGATATCATCAAGGCCTCCAAGAAGGCCACAGGCCAGTATAACCATGCCGACAGATCATAGACAAGAGGCTCATTTGAGATGAGCCAGGTCTGCGCAGAATCGATCACCGGCGATCACCGCCCAATGCATGCTGGTTAGATTTGTGTCTGACTTGATCCCGACTCATGCACACGCGGGCAACGATAACCTCATGAGATCAAGGCGGCCGCAGTTCTGAGACGCAGGCAGTGCAATTGCTTTTCACCGACTGCAGGACCCAGGCGGACCCAGGACAAAATCTCACTCCAAAGTGTTTTGAAAAGTTGGCAGGTATGTAGAAACGTTAATAAATCTCGCTTGCGATACGGTTTTGGAAACATAAAGCCCTCTACTTTCACATAAAAATAATTTCACTATGCAAAATATACACTTACTGTACACTGTTAACTGGTTTTAACAATATTTTTCATATACTGAACAAAAATATAAACACAACAATTTTAAAGATTTTACTGAGTTACAGTTCATATAAGGAAATCAGTCAATTGAAATAAATAAATTAGGCCCTAATCTATGGATTTCCACCCACTGTGGGAGCCAGGCCCAGCCAATCATAATTTGTTTTTCCCCCACAAAAGGGCTTTATTACAGACAGAAATACTCCTCAGTTTCATCAACTGCCCGGTTGGCTGGTCTCAGACGATCCCACAGGTGAAGAAGGCGGAAGTGAAGGTCCTGGGCTGGTGGGGTACACGTGGTCTGCTGTTGCGAGGCCCGTTGGATGTTCTGCCAAATTCTCGAAAATTATGTTGAAGGCGGCTCTTGGTAGAGAAATGAACATTAAATTATCTGGCAACAGCTCTGGTGGACATTCCTGCAGTCAGCATGCCAATTGCACGCTCCTTGAAAACTTGAGACATCTGTGGCATTGTGTTATGTGACAAAACTGCACATTTTAGAGTGGCCTTTTATTGTCCTCAGCACAAGGTGGACCTGTGTAAAGATCATACTGTTAAATCAGCTTCTTCATATGCCACACCTGTCAGGTGGATGGATTACCTTAGCAAAGGAGAAATGCTCACTAACAGGGATGTAAACAAATGTGGCCAAAAATTGAGAGAAATAAGCTTTTTGTGCATATGGCACATTTCTTGGATCTTTTATTTCAGCTAATGAAACAGGGGACCAACACTTTACATGTTGCGTTTATATTGCTGTTCAGTGTATATATATATATATATATATGGCCGTGTGGGAACCCTAAGATAATGTCCTTGTGTTTCCAAAACTGTACTGCAAGTGATGTGTGTTAACGTTCAGACTGAACGTCAGGGCTCTTAACAAACACCCCCGGCCGGGAAGATAGGCTACCTTCTTGAATAGACGCTAGAGTTAGCTAGCGTCTATGAATAGGCTAGACCAGGGGTATCAACCGGGGTCAGCGAAAAATATATACAAAATAAAAGTGGAAAAAATATATATTTTGATTTAAATGTTTTTATGAATATTGCTAGCAACATAATACACATTTTGAATTACATACCTACAGTAGAAAAGAGGATAATATCTTCTTTCTAATGATAGCAACTTTATTTCTTAACTCCTACTATTGAGCAAATTACACTCATTGGAGCCAATTACACTTAAGCCCCGTTTCAATTGGCACTTTGAAGTCAACCCGGGTTGGGCTGGCCTTAGTAGGTAGGCTAGCTCGAATTGCATTTCCACTGCCTCCAGAAATTAGATATGTCATGTTGCTAGGTAGCCAATATGTGACTGTGCAGCTGGCTTAGCTAATGTTGCTATCTAGCAAGATGTTGAAGAATTTAATTCAGCGTCACCATTTTTTAAAAACAATTTACCCCATACTCCTGCCAGATTCAGAGCCATGTATACTGAACAAAAATATAAATGCAACAATTTCAACGTTTTTACTGAGTTACAGTTCATATAAGGAAATAAGTGAATTTGAAATACATTCATAGGCCCTAATCTATGGATTTCACATAACTGGGCAGGGGTGCAGCCATGTGTGAGCCTGGGAGGCCATAGGCCCATCCACTTGGGAGCCAGGCCAGGGATGTAAACAAATCTGTGCACAACATTTGAGAGAAATAAGCTTTTTGTGCGTATGGAAAATGTGTAGGATTTCTTATTTCAGCTCATGAAACATGGGACCAATATTTTACATGTTGCGTTTATATTTTTCTGCAAGCTACAAAAACTAATATAGTCGCACACTATGTATAAACTCCCAGTAATTTATTGGGTATATTTTTGCTCAGTGTATTTAGCTTGCTAGCAAAATGATTAGCGTCATCGCTAGCATAACAGGCTAGCTAGCTAGCTAGCTTAATTCCTGCCTTGCTTGCAATGGCATTGACTATTAGCTAGCTAGCTAACCAAGCAAACCAGATGACAGGTTTGATATGATGTAGCTAGCTAGCTTTCAATATTACGGCCAGCTAAAATTTCTGCTAGCTCACATTAGCTAGCTAGCTTGTTTCAACCCTGATTTGCAAGCTAATGTTAGGTAGCGATCATTCGAGGGCTGACTGTTCTCATAAAAGTTTGTGTTGGGCAAAAATAAATGAAGGTTCCAGCTATGGTGGTAATTTGTGTCATGTCTAACTACTGCAGTACTGCTTGTCTATGTGATAGCTAACAGCAACAAGCCCAGACGAGCTAGCTAAACGTGGTGTCAGCGAAGATTTTTATAACTAACCCTATCTGTGGTGTCAGCAGTGATCAGCTGGTGGTTGCAAAGTAACTCCGGCACCATCCCAAATTCTAATCGATCTGGCACCAGTTGTGAAACAGGGCTGCGCTGGCTCGGGTTTCCCTCGACCCAGCTCAAATTTCAGAATTCCATTTGAGCCAGCTCGAATTTGGCCCTAATTTTAAGTACCAGTGGAAACGGGGCTTTGCTGGATTATCTGACATAGGTTTTGAAAAAGCACCTGTGAATAGGCTACCAGTGCGGCAAGTGCAGCTGGCTGCTGGTAAGCTTTTCTTGACTTGGATATTAATTTTTGCCAACACATGGCTAACCTTTGTTTAAACAGCGAATCAGCTATGCTCTTAGCGAATCAGCTATGTTATAGTTTACACTTCCTCTACCAATTATAATGTGGGGAGGTCAAAATATTGTGTTTGCCAGACCCCCTCAAACATTTTAAGCCATCATTGGGCTGTACCAATCATTTATGGAAATATCTTAATGTGTCCAATATGGCCCCAGGCAGCTGTTTAGTGGCCATATTGGAAATGGCCGCAAGGGGGGACAAAATATGTGATGGCAATATAGCCAAAAATACTTCTTTAGACATGCCCTAGCTGTGTGTGATATTTCGTGTAGCTGCTGGATTATGGTCAATATGACCCCCATTATGGTCTTAAGAGTACTTTATGCTCAGAATTGTTGTCTATATTAGCTGTGGGGTTTATGTAGTGGATAGATAACATTACAAAGTCATTTTATATTGTTTGGAATGATTTTACCCTGTTTTCTTCTAACAGGAAATCCGAATGGCAACCATTTTATTCAAATGGCCACCCTGGTTGACTGACAGGCTTCCCAGACATTAGAAATGTTCCTTAAGGTATGTAGTATTAGTGTATCAAGTTTGATAATTTATCATAAAATGCACAATTATTGCACCTATCCACTGGACTAACATTAAACTGATTTAAAGGGAACTCCCTCTGCTGGTGATTTGCTGAATGTGCAATCCAAAAGGAGGGCTGTGAACTATAATGTCAAATTCTAAGTATAAAATGGCCTTTACTACTCTAGCCCATAGAAATGCATTGAATAACATATTCATCAATGGCAAAAAATACATCTTAAGGAATAGGGTTTTGAAGTGTCTGTCCTATATCTGGGAGATATAAGAAAGCTCAGGAAATGTTTTAGTTTTTTTGGACACATTTAGCGTCTTATATTTGTTGGCACAAAACTACCTTTATACTTCCATTCATTTGTGTGGGTTACCTTCAGACAAGTCCTGTGACACTTGTGGGGGATGTAGAACAAAACGAGAACACTATCGTGTTTGTGAGAGTCTCCTCTTTCCACAGACTCTACAGACGTATTAGTGAGAATTTAACTCGGCCACCTTCCACAGCAGATACAGAAGACTGACATAGGCGGATGTGGTGGATTGAGACGCAGCCCATGCAAAAAAACAGATCTCTACCTTAAACTGACATATTTTCATAGGGATTATGTTACTTAGACTCTTAAGGATTTTAATATTCATATTTTAATGTTGAATAAATGAATGTGAAAAATTGTATTTCAGAATCTAGACATGCTCCATATTTGAGAGCACACTATAAGGAGTATAATGACATCAAGATGTTGTCTCTATCATGTATGGTTCATGGATCATAGGAGGCATGTATAGGTCTAAAAAGGGCCTAAAATGGCCACTTTCATAATGATCAAAAAACAAAACAATGGTTTGTGATACAAATGTAAAAAGCATGTCACACATCCTTCCTCCCAATAAAGATTCTATGTGAGAATTGCCAGAACAATCTGAGATACCCACAATGTTTTCCACCTACGCTGGCGTGGAATCGCCCCCTAGTTCACAACCTCATTCAACTATAACTGCTTGCAATGGACAGGAATCTAAACAGCTTTTACTTGTATATCAGTGAGAACTTGACGGCTGGTGAATAATTCCTCAGATGCCTTGCAGCCAATAAGCCAGTCCCTGACTTCCTCAAAGGAGTCAACCTGTCGGACGCAGGGAAGCCAGTCAAGGCACCAGGTGTACCAGAAGACCGGGGCTATGAGAGGCAAAGACTCTGGAGCAAATCTCGTAGTCCAGCAAAGGAAAGCAGGAGCAAGAGCCGAGCAAAGAGCCAGGTGAGAAGCAAGAGCCGTCCGCACAGCAGATGTCGTACCTGAGGAAAAAGCCAGGCAAGAAGCAAAAGCAGACCACGGAGCAGGAGTCGCAGTCGTGGAAAGAGCCAGGTCAGAAGCAAAAGTGTTAACATATAGACAAATATGTTATACATTGTGTTCTTACACTGGTACAGTTATGCCCTATGAGAGATGTACAACTGCGCATGTGCGAAAATAAAGAATGGGCATTTTCCCGCGTTCTGGTTAAAACACCAACGATGAACATGTGTGTTTATTCCTCCGTTAAGTAAGCCGGTATTCCTGTCCTGAAGATGACAGCACCAACAGGTTATGGGCCCAGGAGGGAACATGGAAGCCGATGGAATAGATTATGTTTCGACGGAGATGAAAAAAACTACGAGTTATGGGAGACGAAGTTTTTGGGACACTTGCGTTTGCTAGGGCTAAAGGCCACCATATTGAGCGTGGATGAAGATGAAGAAGACGGAGAGAAAAATGAAGAAGCCTACGCCGAATTGATACAGGTTTTGGATGATAAGTCTTTCCCTGATAATGAGAGAAGCAGCAGATGATGGGAGAAAAGCGTTGAAGATATTGAGGGAACATTATGGAGGTAAAGGGAAGCCACGTGTGATTAGCCTCTACACTGAGCTAACTTCTCTTCAGAAAGCCAGTGACGAAAGTGTTACGGATTATATCATTTGTGCTGAGACGGCTATTACAGCACTGAGGAATTCTGAAGAGACTTTAAGTGACGGGCTGTTGATTGCAATGATTCTGAAAGGTTTGCCCGAATCATTTAAGCCGTTTGCCATCCACATAACGCAGAGTGACGAGCCGACAACTTATGGCAAGTTCAAAACCAAGTTGAGGAGCTATGAAAGCACCGAGAAGTTTAGCGCCATTTCCACTGACGACAACGTGATGAAGGCAAGTAACATTAAAGTTAGCTAGCCAAGAGGAAGAGATAAAGGGACCGAGAGAACCTGCTTCAACTGTGGCCAGAAAGGGCACAAGGCCCGGGAATGTACCGTTACTGGAGAGCACAGAGAACGGAGACAGTGGTGTAGTTTTTGCAAGAGCTCCACTCATACTGACGCAAATTGCAGACGAAAAAGAAGAGACAATGTGAAACAAGCAACAGATGCTGAAGGCCACACATTTGCATTCAAAATAAGTGACTGTCAGGTTCGTGGACTGAAACAAAAAGGGCTGATGGTTGATACGGGAGCAACGTCACATATAGTCACGGACATCGGGAAGTTTAAGGAGTTTGACGAGACTTTCAAACCGGAAAAACATTCCGTGGAGCTGGCTGACGGAACAAGAACGAATGGTGTCGCGGAGAGGAGAGGTGCAGCGGAGGTTTACCCGAGAGACAACACGGGTCGTCGGGTGAAAACAACGCTGACGAAGGCGCTGTACGTGCCGTCGTTTCCACAGGACATTTTCTCTGTTAAAGCAGCGACAGTCAACGGAGCTTCAGTCAACTTTCGACAGGGGTGTAACAAACTCATCCACAAGAACGGTACCACTTTTGACATCGAGGAGTACGATAGACTTTACTATCTTAACACTGTAAGTGATGAAAATGATGATGGATGTCATGGGTGTTATGATATTCACACATGGCACAAAATTCTTGGCCACTGTAATTTTGAGGATGTGTCAAAGTTAGAAAATGTGACAGAGGGAATGAAAATCACAGGTAAGATTGACAAATCTACCCTCAACTGTGAAATCTGCACAAAGGGAAAATGTGTTCAGAGCAGAAACAGAGAGCCTGATGAAAAGGCAAAAGCAGCTCTTGAGCTTGTGCACACTGATTTGGCTGGCCTATTGAGCCAGAGGCGAAAGATGGGTTGAGATATACTCTAGCATTTACGGATGATTATTCAGGGACAGTTTTTGTGTATTTCCTAAAAGCAAAAAGTGATACTGTAAAAGCTACTGAGAAGTTTATTGCTGATGTGGCCCCTTATGGAAAAATAAAGTGTGTCAGGTCAGATAATGGCACAGAGTACACAGCCAAATAGTTCCAGTCACTGCTCAGTAAGAATGCCATAAGACATGAAACTTCAGCCCCTTACTCACCCCATCAAAATGGGACCGCTGAGAGAAATTGGAGAACACTGTTTGAAATGGCAAGATGCATGCTACTTGAGAGCAACCTACCAAAGAAATTGTGGACATATGCTGTAATGACTGCTGCAGTAATTCGCAATAGGTGTTACAATAAGCGTGTAGGACAGACTCCACACTACATGTTTACTGGGAGAAAGCCTGATCTTTCAAAGATGAAAGAATTTGGATCTGTTTGCTATGCATACAGACAGAACAAGAAAAAGTTGGACTCAAGATGTGAAAAGGGTATTTTTGTCGGGTATGATAAAAATAGTCCAGCATACCTAGTCTACTACCCAGACACTGGAAAAGTTCTTAAAAACAGATTAGTCAAGTTCGTTACAAAAGGTGTAGTCGAACGCCAAACTCAGACAGATTTGGAAATGAGTGATGATCTTCATGGGGAGAGATTTGAATCCCCCATGCCAAAAGCCAAGATGGCAGATCAAAATTCCGAAGAGACACAAGATGTGCAAATCGAGACTTCAGATAGTCAGAGTCCACGCTATCCAGACAGAGAGAGGAAGAAGCCCCAGTACTTAAAAGACTATGAGTGTAAAGTGAAGTGTGATGACCAGATACCACCTAGTGTTGACTACTGCTACAGAGTAATGTGCAATGCACCACAAACCTTCAAAGAAGCAATGATTTCACCAAAATCAGAGATTTGGGCTACTGCTATGAAGGAGGAGATGGATTCCCTTAGGGAAAATGATACATTCACATTGACCACACTGCCAGAGGGTAAAAATGCAGTGGGGGGCAGGTGGGTCTATGCGGTCAAAAACAATTCAGATGAGACTGAGACATACAAGGCAAGATATGTTGCAAAGGGATATAGTCAAGTGGCAGGAATAGACTATAAGGAGACTTTTTCTCCAACTGCAAATATGACATTAGTACGTTGTTTGATGCAGCTCAGTATGACTTAGAGTTACATCAGATGGATGTCAAAACAGCATATCTACATGCTCCTATTGACTGTGAAGTGTACATGGAGCAACCAGAGGGTTTTGAAGTCAGGTCAGATACAGGTGAGCAACTAGTCTGCAAACTGAACAAGTCACTGTACGGCCTGAAACAGTCAGGAAGGAACTGGAACAAAATGTTGCATGATCACCTTAGTGAAAATGGTTTTACACAGAACCCAGCTGATCACTGTGTTTACAAACAAACAAACTGCAACAGAAAGGATCATTTTGATAATTTGGGTCGATGATCTAATTATCGCTGCTAGTGATAGTGACTCACTCACAAGTGTAAAAGAAATGTTAAGTGAAAAATTTAAGATGAAAGATCTTGGGAGGCTTAGACATTTCCTAGGCATTGATTTTACACAAAGTGAAGGGAAAATAAAGATGAGCCAAACAAGGTACATAACCAAGATACTGGAAAGGTTTGGTATGTCAGACTGTAAAACAAGGTCAACACCATGTGAACAAAAAACAGACTTTGATGGTGATGGTGAACCTATTGATTCAAAAAGGTATCGTGAAGTGATAGGCAGCTTGATATATGTTATGACATGTACAAGACCGGATATCAGTTGGATTGTCAGCAAGCTGTCACAATACCTATCAGAACCAAAAGAGCAACACTGGATAACAGCTAAACATGTGTTGAGGTACTTGAAGGGGACAATGAATCAGGAGTTGTGTTACAAAAAGGGGGTGGAAAAACTCAACCTCGTAGCATATAGTGATGCTGATTGGGCAGCAGATCAAAGTGACAGACGAAGCATAACAGGGTATTGTTTTAGTTTAACTAAATGTGGACCTGTTATTTCATGGAGGTCTAAGAAGCAGCCAACTGTAGCTTTATCTACATGTGAAGCAGAGTACATGGCACTGGCTGCTACTACACAAGAAAGTTTGTACCTTGTACAGTTATTGGGCCAGATGGATAGTGAGTGCCAATATGCACCAGTAACAATCTTTGAAGATAACCAAGGTGCAATTGCTCTGTCAAAGAACCCAGTATGTCGTCAGAGATGTAAACATGTTGACATCAGATATCATTTCATTCGATCTGCACTCAGTGATGGCAAAATAAGTATTGAATATTGTCCAACGGGAGAGACATGGTTGCAGATGTTTTGACTAAACCTGTAACGAAGTTCAAAAATGAAAAATTCTTGGGTTATATGTTTGGAATGTAAACTGACATTTGTGAGATGTTTAACTGTAAGCTAAATGTGTTGATAGTTAGGTTGAATACGACTTGTACAGTATAAGAGCAAGTGGGGGTGTTAACATATAGACTAATATGTTATAAATTGTGTTCTTACACTGGTACAGTCATGCCCTATGAGAGATGTACAACTGCGCATGTGCGAAAGTAAAGAATGGGCATTTTCCCGCGTTCTGGTTAAAACACCAACGATGAACATGTGTGTTTATTCCTCCGTTAAGTAAGCCGGTATTCCTGTCCTGAAGATGACAGCACCAACAAAAAGCAAGGCTCGTAGTAGGAGCCGTAGCTGAGGGAAAAGTCAGGCAAGGAGCAAAAGCAGAGCAAGGAGTAGGAGTCGCAGCCGTGGAAAGAGTCAGGGCCGAGTGGACCATCACCCAGACCACAGGGACAGAAGGAGCCCCAGTCGGAGCTGTAGCATCAGTAGTCACGCCTCCGCACACAATGACCTGCTCCAGGGCCTCAAACAGGTTATAAACAGCAAGCAACTGGAGGACAGTATGCCTTCCATCAAGAATGCCATTCTCACAATCCAGGTGTAATATGAGAAGGACATGGGTCATGTTAAGTTAATTAATCTTCTAAAACCTGGCAAGACCCATTTTGCTGTAAAACTATCAATTATATCTGCAGTGAAGAAGGCTAGGCAATCTAACAAATGTAAAATAAATTCTCACAATAAAACCCTTTGTCTTTTCTATTTGTTCCATAGGCCAATAACTTCAGCAGAGAAATACAGAGCAGCAGTATTCCAGGTGGGCCAGTCTTGGCCAGAAGACAGGAATTTCTTAAAGTCCCAGATGGGCCTAATCCAGTCAGCGGACAGGAAGTTCCCCAGATGAGACAGCAGGAAACTGACAGCAATCTCCTCCCCCACGAGAGAGTGTGCTGTGACTTCTTCTGGCTGCAGGGGACTAGGGAGGTCTCGCCTGTTCAGAAGCCTGAGAAGGTTGAGGAGGACTTCCTCTATGGGAATGAGGATAACCAGGCAAAACAACGCTCTGCCACCCTGCCTTTTGCACAGTCCACAACCATTACCCAGCAAAGCTCTGCAGAGGTCTCACCGGCAGGCCCTCCTTACTATCAAAGCATGCCTCTGTTCGGGAACCATGGTGAAATCCAGGACTTCAAGATGCCTCCTCAACTTGTCCTGTCCAGTGTGAGGCCTGAGCAGAGGGTACAGCCTGTCCCTGCTCCTGATGTGAAACCTGCCCCCGCCCCCACTGTGAAGGAGTGTGAGAAGATCAAGACCATGCTGAAGAACATCGGGCTGAGTCTGGGTACGGCGGAGATCAGTAAGATGATCAAGCTGCAGCAGCAGAAGGATGGGAAGATGCCAAAGCAGGAGGAGAAACTGCCATCACCAGCACCAGCGTTGCCTCTTCCTCTTGTAGCTGGGGCATCACAGGAGCCCAGACTGGCCTCGCCAGCACTTGGAACAGCACCAATACAACAAGCACTGGAGTCTTTACAGTCCATTATTAAAGGTTAGAGCAGTCTATAAACAACACATTCACTATATCAGGAAAAATGTGAATCTACAGTATAATACTTTTGTGACTAATTGCATTTCACTTTCTTTCTTAGCAACAAGGGAGAAAAGAGCCAATAGTGATCCACATGATAGCAACCATTCCCAGAGGAATTCAGACAAACAAAGGGTAATTTACCTGGCAGTATCATTCCAATCACACTCTTTTCTCTGAGATAAAACTCATTATTGCTGATGATAATTACTCCTGATGTATGTTGTGTATAGCATGTTGTGATGTCTAAACTGGAAAACACTGCATTTTAATATTATGATGAAATGGGACTTTCTAGAGCAAAGATGACCAGGAGAGTCAGAGGAGATCGAGACATGACCAAATGAAAAGGAAAGAGACTCTTGAAGGAACTGGAGGAATTGCTAAAGCAGGATGGTACAGTATTATTCATTATAGACCTGTCTTTCTCTATCTAGATAATATATGTATTTATTTGTTGTTTCTATCATTACTTGCTAATAGAATGTATTCTAAAGGGTAGGCAACAACACATCTGCCACGCTGATCCTCCACACTGAGGCCCCTCAGGGGTGCGTGCCCTCATTAACATCAACAGGGCTGAAGTGGAGCGGGTCGAGAGTTTCAAGTTCCTTGGTGTCCACATCACCAACAAACTATCATGGTCCAAACACACCAAGACAGTCGTGAAGAGGGCACGGCAACACCTTTTCCCCCTCAGGAGACTGAACAGATTTGGCATGGGTCCCCAGATCCTCACAAAGTTCTACAGCTGCACCATCGAGAGCATCCTGACCGGTTGCATCACCGCCTGGTATGGCAACTGCTCGGCATCCGACCGTAAGGCACTACAGAGGGTAGTGCTTACGGCCCAGTACATCACTGGGGCCAAGCTTCCTGACATACAGGAACTATATAATAGGCGGTGTCAGAGGAAGGCCCAAAAAATTGTCAAAAACTCCAGTCACCAAAGTCATAGACTGTTCTCTCTGCTACCGCACGGCAAGCGGTACCGGAGCGCCAAGTCTAGGACCAAAAGGCTCCTTAACAGCTTCTACCCCCAAGCCATAAGACTGCTGAACAATTAATAAAATGGCCACCCGGATTTACTTTATTTAGTAAATATTTTCTTAACTCTATTTTTTGAACTGCATTGTTGGTTAAGGGCTTGTAAGTAAGCATTTCACGGTAAGGTCTACACCTGTTGTATTCGGCGCATGTGACAAATACAATTTGATTTGATTTTAAATGCTTTTTCATTCCTATATTTTTCAGGGTCTAGCTTTTTCATTCCTGTCATCGGGTTCAACTGCCAGAAGTGTGAGGAGTTCTTTGGAGACATGACTACTGCTGAGAGCCATGCAGCAACCCACCAGTGGAATGAGCCTAGCATGGCAAGTACCTAACTACATTCTCTCTCCCCACACACTAACCCAACTGTATAAATTACACTGAATTGACCAAATAAATAGTCTAGTTAAACCGTTGCATTGTTCATAACCTGGATCACCCCTCAGTATAAACATGAGTTTTTTTTCCAGTCCACTCCAGTCAAATTCCCAAAAATAATTGTGGTAGGTGTTATTTTCGGTACAAAAGCTGAAGGACTTACACACATCCAGATACTATTTTCGATATTATAATCCCAAACTGTTTCACCTTGTCTATAGCAGAAGCATGGAAACAGATGACCTGGACATGACAGAGGACACCCTAGCCATCACAGCAGACACCCCCTGGACCCAAAGCAGAGGGACCAGAGAGACCCAAGAGATCAGAGGCATCCTGATCTTAAACGCAAACTAGACGTGTGCCAAAAGGGTTACAGGAACGACAGGGAGAAGATCTACGTCAAAGAGGAACAACCTGGAAGCCCCAGGATAAAGATGATTATGGTCTGCGGGTACACCCCACCAGGTCTGCAAAAGGCCAGGGGGAGGGTGGATAAGGGCTCTAACGCTGCTTCCTCTGGCCCTGCCAGTGGGAAACATGGTAGGGTGAAACCGGACAAGGTTGAGACCAAAGGAAAGCCCACCGTGGAAGTATGTGACAAAAAGCATAAAGATAATGGAGAAAGCAGTTCCAGCAGTGATGATGAGAAAGGCAAATCTAAAGGCCACAAAAAGAAGAAGAAAAAAAAGACAAATGAAAAGGATGAGAAGTCTTAGCTGCTGCATGTCCTGGTTTGATTGTTTCTGTGGATGACCTTAGGTAAGTTTGGCATCATTGCTGTTGTTTCAGAAGTTGTAGCTTTTAAAGTTCGAAAGAAACTGTATTCCTCTGACCTGTTCTCTCCTTTTGGGGTTGTCTTTTTTCAACTATTTGTTTTTCTGTGTTGTAGTGGATAACAGCACATTTTCATTAAATGCTGTTGGAGGACAGGAAGTTCCAGGTGAATACAGCATTTATCATGTCCAGAATTGTTTTGCTGCCAGCCACTGATCCCATTTTTGTTTATTAAAAAACCTTCTCATATTGGGCCATGGCCACATTTTGTTTGTGTTTTATATTTCACTTTGTTCAACCTTGATTTAGTGCTGCAAATATTATGTAATGTCTTTTTGCAATTAAAAGTCAACTTTCATTTCAGGCTTGTACTGTGTTTTTCTCCCTGATGTGAAACTGTTGTGATGGAATTATTTTATAATGGAGAAGTTCTCCTGTAATTCTTGACATGTATTGTCCTCTTATAATCTAGGTCTCAGTAATTGACGGAGGAAGTCCATTAAGCGCATATGATCTTGCCAACGTCATTGGATCCTATCAGGATAGAAACTAAGTGGGAATTCTTAGTTACCATCTTTCTGTAAGGTAAACGGGGTATGGTAGTAGGTGCCAGGCGCACTGGTTTGAGTGTGTCAAGAACTGCTACGCTGCTGCGTTTTTCACGCTCAACAGTTTCCTGTGTGTATCAAGAATGGTCCACCCAAAGGACATCCAGCCTACTTGACAAAATTGTGGGAAGCATTTGAGTAAATATGGGCTGGCATCCCTGTGGAACGCTTTCGACGCCTTGTAGATTCCATGCCCCGACGAATTGAGGCTGTTCTGAGGGCAAAGGAGGGAGAAACTCCGTGTACATCATTAGCCCACTTATGTTTTTGTCCACTTGCTCAATCTCACATGTCCTCTCTGTGTGTGTATCAAATTGATAGCCTACTGTGTATGATTTTAATTTGTGCTTCTTTTGGCTTGATAACAAATAGCATTTCTGAATTACAAGAATATTGCTACACATTTCAGACAGTTACGTTCATCACTGTGTGATATATTAGATTCTGAAAAGACCAAAGCTACAATTACATATATTTTGATATTTAATGATTAGACTTACTCTAGAGTTGCTGGAGGCCTTTTTGAAACAGTTGAGGGCTGAAAACATCCTCACAAACAGGTACCGCTTGCATGGTTTCTCCTGCGGTTGAGAGGTGGAGGAAAGACATGTCAGCTTCTGGCACAATGTGCGATGCAAGAGACGGGAGAGAGGGTTGACATGAACATGATTTCAATTCCATCAAACTTTTTCCCCTCAACATTTCTATTTACTGTATAGTGGCAGAGGCATTTGGAACTGGAAGTATGTATATAAAAGCCCAATAACATTGTGGATTAAAATGTTATAACCAGGGATCATCAACTAGAACATAATTACAAATAATTTGTAGACTGCAAATTGACCACAAGAAGTCGAAACAGATATATTTGACTAAAACATAATAATTTCAAACCTTGCTTACATTTGTATACCTTCGGAAAGTATTCAGACCCCTTGACTTGTTCCACATTTTGTTAGGTTACAGCCTTATTCTAAAATCGATTAAATTGTTTTTTTCCTCATCAATCTACACACAATACCCCATAATGACAAAGCAAAAACTGTTTTTTAGAAATGTTAGCTAATTTATTAAAAACAGTAAATGGGAATATCACATTTACATAAGTATTAAGACCCTTTACTCAGTACTTTGTTGAAGCACCTTTGGCAGCGATTACAGCCTCGAGTCTTCTTGGGTATGACGCTACAAGCTTGGCACACCTGTATTTGGGGAGTTTCTCCCATTCTTCTCTGCAGAACCTCTCAAGCTCTGTCAGGTTGGATGGGGAGCGTTGCTGCACAGCTATTTTCAGGTCTCTCCAGAGATGTTCGATCGGGTTCAAGTCCGGGTTCTGGCTAGGCCACTCAAGGACATTCAGAGACTTGTCCCAAAGCCACTCCTGTGTTGTCTTGGCTGTGTGCTTAGGGTCGTTGTCCTGTTGGAAGATGAACCTTCGCCCCAGTTTGAGGTCCTGAGCGCTCTGGAACAGGTTTTCATCAAGGATCTCTCTGTACTGTGCTCCGTTCATCTTTGCCTCGATCCTGACTAGTCTCCCTGTCCCTGCCACTGAAAAACATCCCCAAAGCATGATGCTGCCACCACCATGCTTCACCGTAGGGATGGTGCCAGGTTTCCTCCAGACGTGACACTTGGCGTTCAGGCCAAAGAGTTCAATCTTGGTTTCATCACACCAGAGAATCTTGTTTCTCATGGTCTGAGAGTCTTTAGGTGCCTTTTGGCAAACTCCAAGCGGGCTGTCATGTGCCTTTTACTGAGTGGCTTCCGTCTGGCCACTCTACCATAAAGGCCTGATTGGTGGAGTGCTGCAGAGATGGTTGTCCTTCTGGAAGGTTCTCCCATCTCCACAGAGGACCTCTGGAACTCTGTCAGAGTGACCATCGGGTTCTTGGTCACCTCCCTCACCAAGGCCCTTCTCCCCCGATTGCTCAGTTTGGCCGGGCGGCCAGCTCTAGGAAGAGTCTTGGTGGTTCCAAACTTCTTCCATTTAAGAATGATGGAGGCCACTGTGTTCTTGGGGACCTTCAATCCTGCAGAAATGTTTTGGTACCCTTCCGCAGATCTGTGCCTCAACACAATCCTGTCTCGGAGCTCACGGCTTGATTTTTGCTCTGACATGCACTGTCAACTGTGGCACCTTATATAGACAGGTGTGTGCCTTTCCAAATCATGTCCAATCAATTGAATTGACTCCAATCAAGTTGTAGAAACATCTCAAGGATGATCAATGGAAACAGGATGCACTTGAGCTCAATTTCGAGGCTCATAGCAAAGGGTCTGAATACTTATGTAAATAAGGTTTATTTTTTTATACATTTGCAAAAATGTATAGAAACCTGTTTTCGCTTTGTCATTATGTGCTATTGTGTATAGATTGCTGAGGAATTTATTTTATTTAATCAATTTTAGAATAAGGCTGTAAAGGAACAAAATGTGGAAAAATTCAAGGGGTCTGAATACTTTCTGAAGGCACTGTATTGCTCTTTTATAGCTCTATGTTAAGTGGGAATACTTTGGAACACATTTCCAAAATTAAAATCACTTGGGGCCCGATTCCGACCTGAGTTAATGGAACGTAATGCCTTTTTTTATGCACTTTTCTCTCTATGACCTTGAACTTAAGCATGAGAATAACGTGCTGTTCACCTGCTATTCGTTTGGGTGGAGATCGAATAAATGCTGCTATTCGTTTGGGTGGAGATCGAATAAATGAAGTTGTGGCGGTGGTGTGTCTACAGATACACCAAATTCTGACCTTAAATTAATTCCCTAATAATTCCACGCGAGGAAACCATGAATAAGGTCTAGGGATGTAGCTCAGTTGGTAGAGCATGGCGTTTGCAACGCCAGGGTTGTGGGTTTGTTTCCCACGGGGGGGGGCAGTATGAAACAAATAAATAAAAATATAATGTATGCACTCACTAACTGTAAGTCGCTCTGGATAAGAGTGTCTGCTAAATGACTAAAATGTAGCGAACCTACCAGTTCCAAGTGGAAAAAGCATCTACTTAATTTTTTCGGATAAAAATGACATGCACTGTAATTTACAACTTGATAAGAGCTAGGTAAATAAGTAATCCATTTGAAGAAGGGAATTAAATATATATGACACTTGTTTTAGATATGTTTTACCTTATAATCGCTGGAGACAAATGTGAAACCAGTCATATGGCAGCAAACTGAAGCATATCAACTTTTCCCAACAATAAAGTATATGAAATGCTGTTCCATTATGCAGAATTGAAATTGTACAGCGTTTTAACTTACAGGGATGGGCACTCTCGAATGTCTTAATTATAGGCTACCCCAACTTTCTATAATGTTAAATATTAGCCATCAGTATCGTCCATCAGTAGGCCTAATAACAACACGTACAGTTGAAGTCGGAAGTTTACACTTAGGTTGGAATCATTAAAACTCGTTTTTCAACCACTCCACACATTTCTTGTTAACAAACTATAGTTTTGGCAAGTCAGTTAGGACATCTACTTTGTGCATGACACAAGTAATTTTTCCAACAATTGTTCACAGACAGATTATTTAACTTATAATTCACTGTATCACAATTCCAGTGGGTCAGAAGTTTACATACACTAAGTTGACTGTGCCTTTAAACAGCTTGGAAAAATTCCAGAAAATGATGTCATGGCTTTAGAAGCTTCTAGGCCAATTGACATCATTTGAATCAATTGGAGGTGTACCTGTGGATGTATTTCAAGGCCTACCTTCAAACTCAGTGCCTCTTTGCTTGACATCATGGGAAAATCAAAAGAAATCAGCCATGACCTTAGAAAAACAATTGTAGACCTCCACAAGTCTGGTTCATCCTTGGGAGCAATTTCCAAACGCCTGAAGGTACCACATTCATCTGTACAAACAATAGTACGCATAAACACCATGGGTGTCACAATCGTTTACAGACGGGACGGACCAAGGCACAGCGTGATATACGTACATGTTTATTTAAATGAATAAACAACCAACGAACCGTGAAGTCCAAGGCAACACAACATACCTTAACCGGAACAAGATCCCACAATCCACTAGTGCCAATAGGCTGCCTAAGTATGGTCCCCAATCAGAGACAACGAGCGACAGCTGCCTCTGATTGGGAACCACACCGGCCAACATAGATCTAGACATACTAGATCTAAACATTGAAAATGCAACATAGAAAATCACAACAAGGAATATACACACCCTGACTCAACAAATAAGAGTCCCCAGAGTCACTGGTCTGGTGCGAGGAGCAGGCACGGGCCGGACCGGACTAGGAACACGCACCACCGGCTTGGTGCGAGGGGCAGGAACAGGCCGGGCCGGACTGGCGA